CATTATAAACATGATTACTGATGTTATGTAGCTACTGTTTAAAACTTATGACTGGTAAAACATTATAAAGATGGTTACTGATGTTATCTAACTACTGTTGAAACTTATGACTGGTAAAATGTTATAAAGATGGTTACTGATGTTACGTAACTACTGTTGAGAACTTATGACTGGTAAAACATTATAAAGATGGTTATTGATGTTACATATCTACCATTAACAACTCACCACTGGTTAAACATGCATTATAAAGATGGTTAGTGATTTTATATACTGTGGCTGAAATTGCCTAAATATTAATCAAGTTTTCATATTTTTAATAAATTCATGTGAATTTATTAGTAATTGTACTAACTTCCCACTTTTATCTGTTCAGCTTTGTCAAAGCAAAAGAAGAATTCAGGCAACACTTAAACCAGCCATGGCTATGGTACAGGTGAGTCCAGTAATACCTCGTAGAGATAGCAATAGGTATTTTAATATTTTTACTGGCTCGTAATGCTGTTGTAAAACCAGTATATTTATCATACATTTAAAGTAGATTTAATTTTTTCGTCTGCCAGTGTGGCCTGGTGTTTGATGTCCACAACATGGTTGTTCCACTCCATAAAACTTTTGATACATTTCTTCTCGTTTTAAGTTCTTGATGGTTTATCGTTAACAACTTGATGGTTAGTCATTAACAACTTGATGGTTAGCCATTAACAACCGGATTGTTAGCCGTTAACAACTGGATGGTTAGCCGTTAACAACTGGATGGTTAGCCGTTAACAACTGGATGGTTAGCCATTAACAGCTGGATGGTTAGCCGTTAACAACTCGGTGGTTAACCGTTAGCAACTCATAAGTTATGGTGATTTAACCAAAGTTATGGTTAACTATAATATACTTCATAAATTATTGTGTGCAATTACCAGTACACAATGCATAAACTATACAGTTCCCACATCATGTACACACATTTAACAATTACATCATGTGTTTCTCACATATATATGTACTAAAGTTACATCATACATATTTCACACTTCCTAGTGAACACAAACCAGTGTTAAACAGTTATATCACATGTTACAAATACAACATTTACTACTACCACAACCTGTGGTAGTTAGTAAAACTACACATCATGTTAAAATGTGAGCTGCATGAAAAAATCATGAAGAATTAACAGCTGGAATAAATTGAACTTCAATTACTTCCACCAAGTTGTTAATGGATAACCACCATTTAACCAAAGTAATGGTTAACTATAATATACTTTATAAATTATGGTGATTTAACCAAAGTAATGGTTAACTATAATATACTTCATAAATTATGGTGATTTAACCAAAGTAATGGTTAACTATAATATACTTTATAAGTTATGGTGATTTAACCAAAGTAATGGTTAACTATAATATACTTCATAAGTTATGGTGAAAGTATATTATAGTTAACCATTACTTTGGTTAAATCACCATTGTTTATGCTTTGATTGAAGGGGATTTAAAGTCTTTTCTAAATACTAAATTTGTTTTCTGCTTATAATAGAACATGATTAGCATGTTTCCTGCTTATAATAAGTGAACATGATTAGCATGTTTTCTGCTTATAATAAGTGAACATGATTAGCATGTTTTCTGCTTATAATAACTGAACATGATTAGCATGTTTCCTGCTTATAATAAGTGAACATGATTAGCATGTGTCCTGCTTATAATAATTGAACATGATTAGCATGTGTCCTGCTTATAATAATTGAACATGATTAGCATGTTTCCTGCTTCTTCATCTTCAAAGCTGAGTTTTTTAAACACAAGTTTTTCAAGTGATATTTACCTGTTTGTCACCTGAATTTTACCACAGTAAGAGTTGATTCTTGTATGTTTTATGTTCTGGAAATGTTGACTAACAGTTCTGTGGTTCTCTGTTGACAGTGACTTTCCAACATATGCTTCTGATGTTCCATACTTTCAGTGTGATCATGACCTGAAAGCTTTTAGTACTGAGGGAATCCATTTAGTTGTCTGTGTTCATGGTCTAGACGGTAAGTACCCTCTTTCTTATGCTGTATTGAATCTTTGTATTGTTAGTACCTGTACACAGGTAGTGTAAAGAAATGACATGTTACCGTTGAGGCAAGTCTTAATACAACCTGTTTGTTTTGTACCTGACAAGTGTGTGATCATTTGATAGTGTAATACCACCATGAAGAAACTTAAGGCTGGAGAGTTTTATAGGCTGTGAATAAGAAAGAGAACCTTTTGACTAAAAACCAATTTTGATAAAACTGGGCATATTTCTTGGTACCATTAAAAATATATCAACCAATAATTTGAAGTTCACAAAGGTTAAAAAGATAGGAGTTCACAGGTTTCCAGCCAAACCTCGAAACTAAAGATTTTTCCTGAGAATGGAAGTCAAAGAAACTAGAATCAAAGTAATCCTATTTAGCCTCATACCACATTTTTTTCTGCCTTTGGTCAGCTTAAAAATGGTTGTGAAAGCCAACACCACTTACACTTGAGGGTTTATGGGAAGTTTGTTTAGATGTGTATGTGTGTGGTTTTAGAGAAAGATGGGCTATTAACTTGGTGAACTAATATAACTGATTACATTCATTATTGTTAGTAAAATAACTGATTAATCAAAAGTATGATTAATTCATTTAATTTCATTAAAAAAATCAAATAGTCAAAGTTACCAATTATTACTTATTTCAGTTATACCAACTATGCAAGTCTCATTAAAATAATTGATTAATTGAACTGATCAATTAATGAGCCAGATGATTAATCAGTTAACACTAACTTCCCACCTATAAGACTGACACCACCATGATAATAGTGTGTGATTTAGCACATTATCATTCATGGAAGAATACCACCAAGGGCAGCAACAGACCTGTAACTTTGTTACTGTAGAATTCAACTAACCTAAATAATGTATTGTTAGTCCTAGTGCATAGAGAGTAGTTTGTGATATATATTGTTAGTTCTAGTGTACAGTGAGTAGTTTGTGATATATATTGTTACTCCTAGCGTACAGTGAGTAGTTTGTGATATATATTGTTAGTTCTAGTGTACAGTGAGTAGTTTGTGATATATATTGTTAGTCCTAGTGTACAGTGAGTAGTTTGTGATATATATTGTTAGTTCTAGTGTACAGTGAGTAGTTTGTGATATATATTGTTAGTCCTAGTGTACAGTGAGTAGTTTGTGACATATATTGTTAGTTCTAGTGTACAGTGAGTAGTTTGTGATATATATTGTTAGTCCTAGTGTACAGTGAGTAGTTTGTGATATATATTGTTACTCCTAGCGTACAGTGAGTACTTTGTGATATATATTGTTACTCCTAGCGTACAGTGAGTAGTTTGTGATATATATTGTTACTCCTAGTGCACAGTGAGTAGTTTGTGATATATATTGTTAGTTCTAGTGCACAGTGGGTAGTTTGTGATATATATTGTTACTCCTAGTGCACAGTGAGTAGTTTGTGATATATATTGTTAGTTCTAGTGTACAGTGAGTAGTTTGTGATATATATTGTTAGTCCTAGTGTACAGTGAGTAGTTTGTGATATATATTGTTAGTTCTAGTGCACAGTGAGTAGTTTGTGATATATATTGTTAGTTCTAGTGTACAGTGAGTAGTTTGTGATATATATTGTTAGTTCTAGTGTACAGTGAGTAGTTTGTGATATATATTGTTAGTTCTAGTGTACAGTGAGTAGTTTGTGATATATATTATTAGTTCTAGTCAGGTCCTTTTCAATTAGCAATGGATGGTCATATGACTAACATTGAATTGTCCGCTAAGATCCCTAACTGTAATGGCAGGAGATTTGTTGCAACAGCTGCTTCCGGTGCCTCTGAATCGAGTCCACTGGGACGACCCTCTCTTGGCTTATCCTTTAAATTGAAGTCCCCATTTCTGAAACGAGAAAACCACTTCCTACAAGTTCTTTCACTTACTGCATCGACACCATCATAAGTGCTCTGGATAGATATTGCTGCTGCACTTGCATTGACCCCTCTATGAAACTCGTACAGCATGACATGATGAATGTGTTCTTTAGTCGGATCAAACATGGGGTCAGTTTGAAAGCATTTTCTTGAATAATGTTCCTATATCCTGAATGTAAAAGAGGTGTATTACTTATGTAGGCATGACTAAACATCAGATAGAGATAGAACTTAATTAAATCTTGTTCAACATTTTCGGCTCAAAAAAACCGGACAGAACTTTCGTTACAACCTGATATATTGTTAGTGTCTGTTTACAGTACACAGTTTGTGTTTTATATTGTTAGTGCTTGCTTACAGTACGTAGTTTATACTGTATATTGTTAGTGCTTGTGCAGTGAGTAGTTTGTGTTGAATATCATTGGTGCTAGTGGACAGTGAGTAGTTTGTGTTGAATATCATTGGTGCTAGTGGACAGTGAGTAGTTTGTGTTGAATATTATTGGTGCTAGTGGACAGTGAGTAGTTTGTATTGAATACCATTGGTGCTAGTGGACAGTGAGTAGTTTGTGTTGAATATCATTGGTGCTAGTGGACAGTGAGTAGTTTGTGTTGAATATCATTGGTGCTAGTGGACAGTGAGT